TGTTACTAGAAGTAAGGGTTTAGGTAGAGAGCACTGTGGTTATGGAATAGACTGGTAAATAAAACAAACAAGGTGTGTCATTTAATTTTGGTGCATGGATATATATGATGGGAGTGAGTAGTTGAAATTATCTGGGGAATTAATTGAAGAAGAAATTTAAAATTATACAAATAATGGTTATGTATTGATAAGTAGGTGAGCATACTGGTGGGTGGGGCCGAGGGGTGGGATGCGGAGAGGCGAGAGGGGTGGGATGGATGCCGGAGAGGGGTGGGTGGGATGGATGCGGAGGGGCCGAGGGGGTGGGATGGATGCAGAGAGGCCGAGGGGGTTGGGATGGGATGGGATGCGGAGGGGCCGAGGGGGGGGGGATGGATGCGGAGGGGCCGAGGGGGTGGGATGGATGCAGAGAGGCCGAGGGGGTGGGATGGATGCGGAGGGGCCGAGGGGGTGGGATGGATGCGGAGAGGCCGAGAGGGTGGGATGGATGCGGAGGGGCCGAGAGGGTGGGATGGATGCAGAGAGGCCGAGGGGGTGGGATGGATGCGGAGAGGCCGAGAGGGTGGGATGGATGCGGAGGGGCCGAGGGGGTGGGATGGATGCAGAGAGGCTGAGGGGGTGGGATGGATGCGGAGAGGCCGAGAGGGTGGGATGGATGCAGAGAGGCCGAGGGGGTGGGATGGATGCGGAGGGGCCGAGGGGGTGGGATGGATGCAGAGAGGCTGAGGGGGTGGGATGGATGCGGAGAGGCCGAGAGGGTGGGATGGATGCAGAGAGGCTGAGGGGGTGGGATGGATGCAGAGAGGCCGAGAGGGTGGGATGGATGCAGAGAGGCTGAGAGGGTGGGATGGATGCAGAGAGGCTGAGGGGGTGGGATGGATGCAGAGAGGCCGAGAGGGTGGGATGGATGCGGAGGGGCCGAGGGGGTGGGATGGATGCAGAGAGGCTGAGGGGGTGGGATGGATGCAGAGAGGCCGAGAGGGTGGGATGGATGCGGAGGGGCCGAGGGGGTGGGATGGATGCGGAGGGGCCGAGGGGGTGGGATGGATGCGGAGGGGCCGAGGGGGTGGGATGGATGCGGAGGGGCCGAGGGGGTGGGATGGATGCGGAGGGGCCGAGAGGGTGGGATGGATGCTGAGAGGCTGAGAGGACGTAGCTGGAAGGTCTTCTGTACACTGTCAGGACCAGGACCATTCGTCACAGGTGATTGGACCGCAGCACTAACGTTTATGATGGAGTTTTACAGCAGCGTCACGGGGGAGGGGGGGGGGGGTCAGTGAGCATAAAACAGCCCCTTTTCATGTCAGGGATACAAACGACCAATTACCAGTGATCACTAAGTTTATGTGCAAAAGAAGTTATCAATTATGAATCAAATCAAATCTTTCTTTACAATCTATTAAAGCTGGGGTACCAAAGTTTTCCCCCCAAAATAAAAACATTTGTTCCCAACAGAAAGAGTACAGCAAAAGTTAAAAGGTCCAAACATCCAGCATTTCTTTTCTTTGTCACAGGGAGAGTGGAGAAAACGTGAAATTGGCATTTTCTGTTCAGCCATTTTAGGTTTTAGAAAATCCGATAACTCCGGTGCACTCAGAGAAACAGGAAGAGGGTGAAGGGGGTGAACACATCCCATTGGTTCGTTGGGAATGAACTACTCACATTGGTTTAAACATTTTGTATTCATTTTTGGAGACTAACGACATCTGGTCAATTCCATTACTATTTGAAAACACATGATAACTTAATACTTAAAGCCCTCCTGAACCTCAAGAAAAGGGCTTTCATCTCAGGGGACAGGGAGGAGCAGAAGAGGATCCAGCACGAGCTCCAGTGGAGGATCAGGAGGGCCAAGAAGGACTATGGGAAAAAGCTGGAGCAGAAGCTGGCCCAGGGAAACGCCCGCGACGTGTGGAGAGGCCTAAAGAACATCTCCGGTTTTGGACAGAGTGCCAGAGGAACAGCAGATGGAGACCAGCACCGGGCGGATGAATTTAACCAGTACTTCAACCGGTTTGATTCTCCCCCCTCTCCATCTGCCCCCCCCTCCCGCCCCCACCTCTTCACACGTCCCCAGCCCAGTGGACACCGCCCAGTGGACACCGCCCAGTGGACACCGCCCAGTGGACACCGCCCAGTGGACACTGCCTCCGGCTGCCCCGGGCCCTCCTGCCCCCGCATCCCCAGCCCCCACCTCGGACAGTACACCCGGGTCCCCCCCTCCTCCAGCGTCTGAAGCTGAGGAAATCCGCAGGACCGGACGGGATCAGTCCCAGGCTGCTGAGGACCTGTGCAGACCAGCTCTCTGGGGTCCTCAGCCTCAGCCTGGAGAAGGTCCCTGTCCTGTGGAAGACCTCCTGTGTGATCCCGGTCCCAAAAACAGCACACAACAAGGAACCGGCTCACTACAGACCAGTCGCACTGACCTCCCACCTGATGAAGACCATGGAGCGGCTCATCCTCACCCATCTCCGCTCCGTGGTCAGCCCCACCCTGGACCCGCTGCAGTTCGCCTACAGACCCAACATCGGAGTAGAGGACGCCGTCATCTACTTCCTGCAGCGGACGCTCTCCCACCTGGAGCCCGCCGGGAGCGCTGTGAGGGTCATGTTTTTGAATTCTCCAGCGCTTTCAATACCATCAGGCCGGCACTGCTGCGGGGGAAGATGGAGGACCAGGAGTGGACAGTAGCTTCACTGCAGGACCATCAACTACCTCACTGCATGGACCATCAACTACCTCTCAGACCGACCACAGTACGCGCAGCTGCAGCTGTGAGTCTGAGGTGGTCGTCTGCAGCACTGGGGCCCCTCAGGGCACTGTCCTCTCACCGTTTCTCTTCACCATCTACACCTCAGACTTCACACACGACCACACACAGCTGTCACCTGCAGAAGTTCTCCGACGACTCCGCCATCGTGGGCTGTGTGTCTGAGGGGAACGAACTGGAATATCGGTCGGTTATCAAGGACTTTGTCGACTGGTGTGAGCGCAACCACTTGTGCTTGAACACCAGTAAGACCAAGGAGATGATCATCCACTTCAGGAGAAAACCACTTTCCCACACGCTGCTGAACATCCAGGGGGAGGACATTGAGCTGGTGGACAGCTTCAAGTACCTGGGTGTTCACATTAACAATAAACTGGACTGGTCCATAATACAAACGCCCTGCACAAGAAGGGCCAAAGTCGCCTCTTCCTTCTGAGGAGGCTGAGATCCTTCTGAGGAGGCTGAGGTCCTTCTGAGGAGGCTGAGGTCCTTCTGAGGAGGCTGAGGTCCTTCTGAGGAGGCTGAGGTCCTTCTGAAGAGGCTGAGGTCCTTCTGAGGAGGCTGAGGTCCTTCTGAGGAGGCTGAGGTCCTTCTGAGGAGGCTGAGGTCCTTCTGAGGAGGCTGAGGTCCTTCAGAGGCTGAGGTCCTTCTGAGGAGGCTGAGGTCCTTCTGAGGAGGCTGAGGTCCTTCTGAAGAGGCTGAGGTCCTTCTGAGGAGGCTGAGGTCCTTCTGAGGAGGCTGAGGTCCTTCTGAGGAGGCTGAGGTCCTTCTGAGGAGGCTGAGGTCCTTCAGAGGAGGCTGAGGTCCTTCAGAGGAGGCTGAGGTCCTTCAGAGGAGGCTGAGGTCCTTCAGAGGAGGCTGAGGCCCTTCTGTGAGGTCCTTCTGAGGAGGCTGAGGTCCTTCTGAGGAGGCTGAGGTCCTTCTGAGGAGGCTGAGGTCCTTCTGAGGAGGCTGAGGTCCTTCAGAGGAGGCTGAGGTCCTTCAGAGGAGGCTGAGGTCCTTCAGAGGAGGCTGAGGTCCTTCTGAGGAGGCTGAGGTCCTTCAGAGGAGGCTGAGGTCCTTCAGAGGAGGCTGAGGCCCTTCTGTGAGGTCCTTCTGAGGAGGCTGCGGTCCTTCTGAGGAGGTTGAGGTCCTTCTGAGGAGGCTGAGGTCCTTCTGAGGAGGCTGAGGTCCTTCTGAGGAGGCTGAGGTCCTTCTGAGGCTGAGGTCCTTCTGAGGAGGCTGAGGTCCTTTGGAGTGAGCAGGCCTCTGCTCAGGACTTTTTATGACTCTGTGGTAGATTCTGCCATTTACTACGCTGCCGTGTGCTGGGCCCCGGGCAGCACAGAGCGGGACAGAAACACACTGAACAAGCTGGTCAGGAGGAGGTGAGGGACAGGAGGCCCCTGGACTCTGTGGAGGAGGTGAGGGACAGGAGGCCCCTGGACTCTGTGGAGGAGGTGAGGGACAGGAGGCCCCTGGACTCTGTGGAGGAGGTGAGGGACAGGAGGCCCCTGGACTCTGTGGAGGAGGTGAGGGACAGGAGGCCCCTGGACTCTGTGGAGGAGGTGAGGGACAGGAGGCCCCTGGACTCTGTAGAGGAGCTGAGGAGCTCCTTCAGTGGAAGACTGAGACACCCTCAGTGTAGGAAGGAGCGCTACAGCAGGGCCTTTATCCCCACCGCTGTCAGACTGTACAATGAGTCACTTTAAATGATCACTGTGTGAAAACCTGCACTACTATTGACACTGTTTCCAATTGACACTTGTCACTTTTGTTGCACATAATTATTGTCACTTTTATTGTACATATATCCTGCATGTAACATGTTTGCACATTTCCTCCCTTTGCACAATCTGAGTGTCTCTATCCATGCCAAATGTGACATGTACATTTCTCCTCTGTGAGATAAATAAAGCTTATCTTATCTTATCTTATACTTTTAGGGTTTAGGGACGTTTTCCCACAATATTTAAAGAAATGCGTCTGGACTACATAACTGACTGCATCTTTAACGCTGAGAGCTGATTGGATGAATGAGGGTGGTCCTCCATTTTTGTCCTTGTCTGAAAAAGATGTGACAGAAGCTAAACAAGATTAAGATTAAGCGATGCTTTAATCAGACTTTAATGAGGAGCACACAGCACAGGATAAATTAATAACTTTATACCAAAATAAAATCTCCAACGCTAGCATAAAAAGCAGTATAAAATCTCTCATTGACATAATTAAGAAAGAAGTCTAAAATCTCCAACTTGAAGCAGCAAGACTTAAGTACAAAAAACCCTGACTTATCTTAATGTGGAGCAAGTATAAAACGCTGTAGATTCCAGTGAAACTAACACAATTTTACTACACAATTAAATGGTTTTAAAGTCAGGTACACCAGCTTTAAAATCGAGAACTTCCAATACATACTTGGCTTGAATTGTAATGAATCTTGCAGCATAACTTTGACATCTGCACGTATAAAAAGACCGCATAGAGAATAAAAGTCCAGCTCTAATTGCAAACACAAAACCCTACAATAGAAACCATCAAAGCCATTTCCTAAACAAGGTGCTAAAACCGCTTCACATAAAACAAACCTGAAAAAGACTAAACCTCAAATTACAAGTTAGTCACCGAGAATGATTATTAAGCTGCCGTAATGGAGTGTTCTTTAACTCCCACTTGGGCGACATGTCAGCACTTGTAAAACCTTCTCTTTCCATTTACAGCGATCGACTTGGACGCGTTACGAAAGCTTTGGCGGTTACAGAAGTCATTTACACTGTGTCGAGAGGCTGTATTTCTCACTGAAAGTCCACGGCTTATGACAAACTTCTGCCCCGTAGGAAACCGTTTGGAGTCTGTGTTGTCCCAATTGTTATTCACTCCAGGTCCTCTGCTGCTGCGGCCGTCGCTGCGATTGGAAACACATGTGCTACGCCGACGTTTTTCTGCCTCAATTGGGACAAACATGCAGAAAGTTGTGGGAAGCAAAACAGCCTCCAGACACACACATGGCAAAAGGAACGGAGGGAGAGAGTTGTGCGATACGTGCGACATGTTTGTGCTGCTGAGATTGTTGATCGTGCAAGACATGTGTACTTAAAAAAAGGACATAACGGCTGGTTTTACAACTTTGTCAATAGATTTAAAATTAATGTTAGCATACAAGATCCGAGTCTGGTCTTAGCCATCTGTAAACTCAGGTCAATTATCATTTCCCTACATGTGCGGAATGAAATGAGTGCAATGGTATGGTAAGACCAGGCTAACACGTTCCCTGTATGTCTTTGTAGAGTGCCGCTAAAAGCCACGCAAGAAAGATAATTATAACGAAAGTATTTTAATGTATTTGATTCCTTTTTTTAACTACTTCAAAATACAATGTGAAACTAGCTCTGGGACT